CCCTCCTTCCTTTGTTCTCTCCTTCTGTTCTATTTAAGTATTTCTTTCATGCGCCCAATGCTCATTGGAGGCACAGCAACAACCAGAATAGCAGTAGCTCCTTTTTCACATGAGAACCACATCTGCTGTGTTTCTATTCTACAGCCCAGGTACCATGAGTTGGAATGGAGTGCAATCCATCCATACCCTGTAGGTAAAGTGATGGCCCTAGAGGGCCATGGCACCCCCAAGGTCATCGTCATGTCTGCCCAATGCCCCAGCTCTCCTCTCTCTGCTTCTCACCCGCGAAATCCCAGAAGAAATGCACTGGTGGAATACTCTGTTTGCCAGCTAGAGGGGCGAGGCCATCCAGAAAAGAACCTGTATGGGGGCTGGGGTCATCAAACCGAGTCCAGCACTCTCCTTTCCCTTCCCACTGGGAAATGAGATGAAGTTCCCTTTCTGGAGGAAGTACCTGAATGCAGGCACCGTCTGGGAGCTGGCAGTTGCACAGGCAGCCAGCAATCTGGGGAAGTCGGTTAAGGCTCCTTTGACTGGGTTTCTCACTCAGCCTGGGAGATGAGTCTGATTTTCTGGGAAACAGCTTACACGAGGAAGAGAAACAGTATTCATCAGGCAACACTGTGCACGAGGCACCTCTGGGCAAGCCAGCGGGCACCCTGAGAAGTAGGGGATTGGAGCCATGTTCTGCAAAAATTGAAACTCAGAAAAAAAAAAGCAAAAAACAAAACAAAACCCAGCCGGGCGTGGCTCAGTGGTTGAGTGTTGACCTAGGATCCAGAAGATCAGGGTTCAATTCCCGGTCGGGGCGCATGCCGGGGTTGCGGGCTTCAGCCGATCTATGACTCTCTCATCATTGATCTTTCTATCTCCTCTCTCCCTCTCCCTTCCTCTCTCTGAAATTAATAAAGATATATTTTTTAAAAAAAAGTTGACACTCAGAGAAGAGAGGGGAGGCACAGGGCTGAAAGCAAGGACTCTAACATTGACAGGATTGGGGTTCTAATTCCAGTGTTGTCACTCAATAGCACGTGACCTCGGGCATGTTGCTGCAAGCTCTCCGAGCCTCAGTCTCCTCATTTGTAAAATGGGAGTAATTGTATGTCTTCCTTGACTGGATGGATGTGAAAATAAATGAGGGGACTTAGGTCATTGCGGCAACTTGCACATTTAGCTTTTCCTATAGAGAAAGAAACCACCCTTTGGGCTTTTCAAAGAAATGACAGGATTGATTCTCTGTGCACTGCTTCCCATGCGATATCAGCCTGTCTTTCATCTCTGTGGACACATCTGTACCTCCTTCCCGCAGTGGGCTGGACGTTTGGTGGAAGCCTTGCAAGACAGTCAAGGACTCGGGGTTGAGGCTGCTGATGAGAGAGGCCTGGCCTACCCCCATGGTCTGAGCTTTGGGCCCTGGGTGCCCAGGTTGGGTACTTGGGCATCACTCTTGACTCCCACCCTGCCCTCATCCCACCTCCAGCCCACCAGCAAGGCCCTGGCTCCTGCCTCTGAAAGGCATCTGTCTTGCCTGGGGCTGCTTTCCCGGGCCTCCGCCACCCTCCTGGTCCTGCTCCGAGCCAGCACGGGGTCTTGCCTGGACTTTCGTGACTGCTCTCCACTGGCCGCCCTGCCACTCCCTGTAATCGCTGACGCCCAGGCTGTCTGTTCCACCTTCCCCCTGGCTCACAGGCCCCCTGGGGTCTGTGCTCCCCCTCTCTGACCTCCGGCTTTATCTCCGGCCTCGCTCCTGTGCCTCGGACATGCCTGCGCTGCACCTTGGGGCTCTGCCCCAGGTCTGCCACTGACCTGGATGATCGCATCCTGGTGCGAATGTTGGCTCTGCTGAGGGGCCCTCCTTCACCCCTAACGCGACCACCCTCTCACATTCTTCCACCTGCCCTTCTGCGGGGCACATTCTCCTGGCGTTCTTCTCGCTCCCCTGTTCCTTCACTGTTTTCCTCTCCCCACTGGAATGTGAGTGTCAGAGGGCCAGGCTCCACCTTGGCAGGCACTCTATGAGGGCTCACTTAATACTTGCTATGTTGACTAAATGCACATCAGAAGCAAGCATCCTAACAATACAACGCTCCATTTGTCAGGCACTTGGAAAGTGCTAGGCACTGTTCTGAGAACTTTACATGCTTTATCCCATTTAATCTGTGCAACGGCCCTGTTACGTGGGCACCGTTAGTCATCTCCATGGCACAGATGAGGAAGTGAGGGTTTATGGTATTTTGTAACTTGGCCAAAGTCCACCCCCAGCAATGGGTTATTGGCAACTATGGGAAAGGCCTGGGGAGAGAGTTTTCAGGGCAGGGTTTGGACTGGGCCAAATGAAAATTCTGCC